GAAAGTCCAGGACCTCTTGCAACCGTTGCTGCTGCTGTATGTGTTGCGTTGTACCATAAGAGATACGACTGACGTATTTTTAACTAGCTACCCTAAGCTTTCGAGGTGGTGCTTGGCCAAATTGGCCCCAAGTCTGGCGACCCAAAACGCACTGGCCGTGTTCATCTCAAAGTCCCATGTTTCCCTTTATTTATTCTTTTTGCGCTCCTCAGTGTTATTTAAGCCAATGTATATTTTTGTTTGGGGCTCATATAGAAATTTGGTTTATGGATGTGAATTGGTATTGGTCAAGTTAACACGGAATCCTGAAGTCAATGTTTAACGTTCAACCTTCGCCAGGTGTTCTATGTATCATCTTCTAGCAGGTCAATGCATTCGTTCAGAGTCAAGTCCCTGACATTGTCCAAGTTATACCGTTCCATGACAGCAATGTACGTGACCAATACCACAGATAGCTCCCTCCAGTCAAAGTGCACATTTTCCTCGCTTGTAGAGAGTGGAAGGTCCAATTCGCTTTGGAGGGTAGGGGTGCTTGGAGGGCCGTTCATTTTTGTCAAAGGTAAGCGTGGTTTGAAGTGCGTTCACTGATATGCTTATGGGAATCTTGTTTGGTGAACTAAGCAAGAATCATGAACCCGATCTTTATATACCTCAAGCTGTGCTCAGACGCTCGGTATATGCGCACATCTGCCTTCCAGACACAAATCCATGGTCCAAGCGCGATTGCCAATGTCCCTCAGATGAGATAGACAAGGTGCTTTGTTCGAGACAGGTGACTGTATTGATGGACTCTGGCGGTGGTGGTACCTGATGTGACGCATAGACCGAGAGACTATTACATTTTTATAAAAGGACGGCATTCTCAGAGAAGGTAGGCCATTCAGGAAAGGCTCGCCCATATCATCACGACTGCTCAAAGCCTTTAGGCAAGTCCAACGTACTCATAACAAACCCACAATGAACTTTCAGGTCACTTCACAAGGCTCTCGCATCATCGCCAGGCCCATCATGTCCGAATACGATTGTTATGCATGTGGCCCGGATGTTTGTAGCCAAGGCTTTGGCAGCTGGTACCCTCTCGCCGTCGCCTCTCATGAACATCAGGAGCTGGTTGTCTCCATTATTTACGAGCTGAAGGGGAGTGCCCACTGGAACACTCTGAGCGTCTTCGCTCAAAATGACACCATAGTCAACGGTGCCATCCAGGAAGGCATAACCAGAGCCATTGCGGCCAAGGCAAATACAGTTGAGATGCTGGAGGGGTTCGACGGCTCTGATCTGCCTGCTCTGTTTTTGCTCTGGAACTGCGTCAAATACTGAGTCGATTGATAGCTCTCTTGGCCTTTACTATAACTATTTCCATTTCTCGCTACTATATTTTAATACTATGTAGAACTTCTGGCCTACGGCGACATCGCCCTCTGGGAAAGTTTTGACAAGCCCCGATCCGATTAATCTATATGTCGTTCAAGTTTAATGAGAATGGGTATCAGCATTCCTTGGGAGCCCTGCATATTCAGGTGGCTCTAGGGCCTGATCATCCGAGTCGCGATTAAGGACATTCCTGTGTGAAAATCCATGTTTAACATCACAAGCTAAGCCAGGGTTCGAACTCTCGACCTCAGGTAAGAACCCTAACCCTAAAGTCTGCTTAAGGGCAGGCGTATCAAGCTGGGCCTTGAGGTGCATGTTGTGACGAACCATCTCTTTCAATACACTGAAGCTCAGTGTTCCTCAAGAACTGTCTAACATGCCCACGTCTAGCAAAAGCTCATAACAGGCCCACGGCAAAGTGTCTCGGATGCTTCATCGCTACAGCTTGCGGGTACCACTGTATCTATCACTGAACAAAGCCCCTAGAAAATGGTCGCTGAATGCTTTGATTTCAGGTCCATTTGCCGAACCTCTGGTACATCTGGTGCCGGATATATTTTCTCTTGTCCTGTTATACCCGTCCGTGCCAACTCGTCGCTTGACTCGTGTTCTTCATCTAGGAAAGTCAACTGCACGATGCGAGATCAAGGGTCGACATTCTGGATTCTCTCACAAGCCAAATGATACTCCACTCTGGGGGAATCTCTCTCCTCGTAGCCTTCACAATATGTTTGACTTGGACCCGCGTTTGTACGGTCAAAATCTGCCGTGCACCAATCACCTTGCATGTATGACTAAAAGACTAGGCGGCAATTTGCGAATGGTCGACCGGCTCTCAGGTTTTGCGTTGGGCCGGCGAAATTCCAACAAGGTTGTTGATCCGGAGATCAGTACTCACCCTGCCCCGTTCACCAAACTATGCAACTCTAGGCAACTCCCGACGGTTATCCCTACTCCCGAAAATCAAAACCGCCGAGTTATGGAAATAGGCGAATAAACTGAGTCAAGACGCCCTCCCCGTTGCCATTATTATCACAAGTCCCATGCGGCTTTACTTCAGACTCGTAACACGCGCAGTAAGGCTATTCTTCTGTTAACGTTTCTCTGCGACAAGTCCGAGGCGTAGCTTTATTGCATCCATCCAACAGCACTCCAAGATGTGGGAGAAATCGACCTGGTGAGTGGTATAAATACAGACTTATTTCGACTAGTAATCCTCAGAACTCATACTCGATTTCTCTTCTCTACCAACAGCTCTAGTCTAGCCAATGAGGTTCTCCGCCTTTGTCGCTCTGTCCGTAGTTGCGGGAGTCTTTGCATCCCCAGCCCCTCAAGAGGAATCGCCTGCCGGTAGGCCTGGTGGCGGAGTCCGATGCCCGAATGGCCGTACTGTCAGGAATCGTCAGGTCATTATGCTCATGGCTCGAATCTGAACAACTGTATTTATACTTCTTTTTTCCAGTGCTGCAGCTGGTTCGCTATTATTCCACAGCTTCAGGCCGAGATGTAAGCATAAACAGTCTTCAGCTTGCATCACACTAACCTGTGTCTCGAATAGCTTCAACAACCAATGCAGTACGTATCATCCAATACTAGTACACACTTACTAGATCTGATCGTGATCTATCAATCAGACAAGGGCACTCGTAGGGTACGTTCCACAAAGATTTTGACTTTGTGTAATTGATCGTTCTGACATGCTTAACAGGTCTTGCAAGTAAGTTAATAACTTATAGCGATGCATATCAGCTCAACGTGACTCGCAGACGTTCTTCCACGATGCCATTGGTTTCTCTCCTGCCTTGACCAACGCAGGGCAATTCGGGTGCGTACGAAGCTTTCAGGGAGAAATAATTACACTGACGCGTGCCATAATCAATTAGTGGTGGAGGAGCAGGTAAATATCCCTCAGATATACTCTTTAGTTGAATACGGAGGTGACATCTTTATAGATGGTTCCATCATTGCCCACTCTGTCATCGAGACGACTTTCGGTATGTCGCATATTTTCGCCAAGAGGGCAAGTATCTGAGTTCAACTTTCCTGCCTCTAGTACCCAACCGAGCCCTTGGACCGACCATCGAGGCTCTTAGAGCGATCTCCATCCGCAACAGCGTGTCCTTCGGCGACATGTAAGTGCTTACCTGATTTTCTGGTATTTTCTCGGTCCTGACATGTTTTCAGTCTTAACTTCGCCAATGCTGTCGGTTTGACTAATTGCCCAGGCGCCCCACGGTTGGAGTTCCTGGCCGGGAAGAGCAACAGCTCTCAACCGTCGCCCCCTGGTTTGATTCCAGGCCCTGGAAACACCGCTGATGCCATCCTGAACCGCATGGGTGATGCTGGATTCTCTCATGATGAAACCGTCGATTTGCTTTCGGCGCATACCATCGCCGCCCAAGAGGCTCTGAATCTTAATGCTGCTGCCACCGTAAGTCTAGCACGCGTTTCGACTTCAATAAACTACACACGCCTCATCCAATTTTCTCTCAGCGTGCGCCTTTCGATAGTACACCAGCCGTCTTCGACAGTCAATTCTTCATCGAGGTTAGTAATTTAACTGCCTCTTAAATTTGGATAAAAGACTTACCCGTAGGACAGACCTTGCTCAGAGGAACCGTCTTCACTACCGGAGGCCCTGGATTTGCTGAAGTCCTTTCCCCCCTCCCCGGAGAGTTCAGGATGCAATCCGATTTCGCTCTTGCTCGCGATCCCAGGTTTTTTGTTTCTCTTTCAAATAATCCGCAAACTGTTTCCTGACCACAAGATATCACAGGACCTCTTGCCGATGGCAATCCATGTTGAGTAAGTGCTACTTCCACTTGATCGCCACGATATGTCACTGAAAATTGCTCGCCATCTAGCCAACAGCGCCTTGGTGGCAAGTCGATTCCGCGCCGCAGTCGCTAAGCTGTCTGTCCTTGGATTCAATCGCAACACTCTCATCGACTGTTCGGACGTCATCCCTACCCCTCGTGCCCAAATCAACAGCCCCCGCATTCCTGCCGGTTTGACTACTGCCGACCTCGAAGGCTTTGTAAGTGCAGTCTGGCATAAGTCTGATAGTGAATCGCTCATCTAACGATGGTACAGTGCCCTGGTACTCCACTCCCAAATATGGTTGTCGCGCCAGGCCCTCTCCAGACCGTTGCAGTCGCTGTAAGTTCCACGTTCGTACCCCGGCGATTCACTTAAGCTTATCCTATTGATCTCTCAGGCACCTTAAGCTGGGCAATCAAAACACGGCCGACTCTAAACCGGTTACGGAGAACAACACCTCGCACCTTCTTCTTTCTTGGACTCACCTATGATTCCCTTGTGTTTCTACGCCTGTACTGTGGTGCTCGCGCTGATGTGTCTGGCATTGCGTCTCTCCCAGAAAATATCCTTGTAACTGTTGATCTCAATGGCTCCTCGAATGTAAATGATACCTATGTTTCGACCAAAGTATTCCGATATGCAAGCGAATTATGCGGCATGGCCATGAAGGGGTCAGGACATTCCAAGGTACCCAACTGCATTTCTACTGTAGTCCGTTGTAAATGCATTTTTGCATTTTATTTGAGCAACTAAGTTCAGAGTGATCCAAAAGGAGACACAACCTTTAAATAGGAGGTGAAAAAAGATGACCGAGGTAGGGGTCGAACCTACAATCTCCTGATCGCGATGCTCTGAATCGTAGTCAGACGCGATGCCATTTCGCCACACGGCCGCTGATATGTTGCCTGTAGACTGAATTCACCTGCAGCGTGAGGACTCGACAACAGGACTGTAATTATCTCCGCAATTTCACTCCTCATCCCGCCACCCAATTCCAATTCGACGTCGTGGGAGGTTAAGAACTACTTCATTCGAGCCTATTGGCCGCGGGATGATACTAAGCCTCTCACCAATACACTGACACACGCAGCTTGTAAAATAGGTAGGTGCCTGACGTTCCTGAAACAGAAGCCAAACTTCGGAAGGCCAAGCGAAACAACTTCAAAACTTGTACCCGACTCTGCTTTAAAACAATGGACTCGCAGACACGCTCCAAACTCCTCAACCAACCGTTGTATACGCATCGGGGAATTGGGCACGGCAGTTATCATCCGTTTGACCTCGGGTCGACCGGCTTCAAAGCAATTCAAAGAGCCGGAGAATCTCGTTGTATATGTCTGAAATGCTATTGGAAACTCAAGCTCACTCTGCCCCATCGTTTTGATCCTTGTGAATTCAGCTGAGGACTTCCGAGGAGGTACAACTACGTAGCCGATTCGGGAGCCTGGATCGAGGCACTGGGTCTCTCCTTCAAATTCAGGTATAAATTCAACTGATTTTCCAACATAGTCTTCATCACCCATCTCTGACTTTTGTCTCTACTTCGGTAGTTGCCACCCATCCAATGAAAATCGCCACCTTCGTTGCTCTGTCCGTTGCTGCGGGTGTTTTCGCTACCCCAGCACCTCAAATACTTGCCCCTACTCTCACGATTTGCGCGCCCGGTGAAATTACTAGGAATGCCCAGATAGTCATTTCCGCAGGACGTTCAACATGAAAAGATCTCAATCTTTTGCCTTATCAGTGCTGCAAATGGTTTAAAATCGGGAAAGAGGTCCAGAATGAGCTGTACGTTGTCACTCACGGTCAAACAATCCCCTCGCTCTTAACTCTTTTGCCATCTAGCTTTAACGGTGGACAGTGCGGTTAGTGATTTTCGTCGGTATTCGAAAGATATTTGAAAGGCTGACGCGCATTGTCGACTAAATATAGCAAAGGGCGCTCGTAGGGTATGTTGTGCACGTAGCAATTTCGCTCATGAGTACTTACAACGGTCTCGACATCTCCCAGGTCTTGCAAGTAAGTGAAATGGCCAGAACCCCGCATTAGAGGTTAATCGAGCGTCGAAGGCCTGGTTCCACGACGCGATCGGCTTCTCAAGATCCTTGAATACTGCAGGACAGTTTGGTTGCGTCAAAACTTATCACGGAGACCATGCAACTGACGAGCACTCATATTAGTGGAGGAGGAGCAGGTGTAAACTCGATTTGTACTTCAACGTGTGGTTAAATGACCTTAACCTTAGATGGATCCATTATTGCGCATTCCAATATCGAGACAACCTTCGGTTAGTGGATCATACGCCTTGTCACAGTGTCAATACACCGGATTGACCTTGAATCCCTCAAATTAGTTCCCAATAGAGCTTTAGGCCCCACCATCGAAGCATTGAGGAAGATAGCCATCCGAAACAGTGTCTCCTTCGGTGATATGTGAGTGCATTCCACATACATGGCTATAGGGAACCACCTGAAATCGTTTCAGCCTCAATTTTGCCAATGCTATGGGATTGTCCAACTGCCCCGGTGCCCCAAGGCTGCAGTTCTTGGCGGGAAAGAGCAACAGCTCACAGCCTTCGCCTCCTGGTTTGATTCCGGGCCCGGGAAACGACGTCAATACCATCCTCAACCGGATGGCCGACGCTGGCTTCTCTGCTTCTGACACCGTTGATTTACTTTCAGCACATACTATGGCATCGCAAGAAGCGTTAAATCTGAACCCTGCCGCTGCTGTACGATCTCTCCAGCTTTCTACTTGTAACTTGAAGCAGCTTATAATGTTCGTGCTCAGCGTGCGCCGTTTGACAGTACCCCAGCCATCTTCGACAGTCAATTCTTCATCGAGGTGCGTCACGGCGGGGAGTATGTCTTACTCTGAATGTGGTGTTGACCCATAGGACAGACCTTGCTCAAAGGAAGATTCTTCACTCCCGGGGGACCTGGATTTGGCGAGGTTACGTCACCACTCCCTGGAGAGTTTCGTATGCAGTCGGATTTCACTATTGCACGCGATCCTAGGTGAGTGTCCATTACTCTCTTGAGAGATAATTTTTCTTACAGCACACTTTGCTCACTAAGAACCTCTTGCCGTTGGCAATCCATGATGGGTGAGTTCCTGCCCTCTACCACGCCTGCTATAGCTAATATGTTCTCAGCCGATAGCAATTTGATGGCAACGCGATTCCGCGCTGCTGCTGCTAAATTATCGGTCCTTGGATTCGAACCAAAGGCGCTCACCGATTGCTCGGATGTCATTCCCACTCGTGTCTCCATCGTCCGAGCGCCTCATATCCCTGCTGGACTGACCAATAGTGACGTTGAGGGTTTTGTGAGTAAATTTTTGGCCGTTCATCCGAACACTATATAATCTAATGGCAACTCCAGTGCGCCGGTACTCTACCCCCAAACTTTCCAGTTGCTGCAGGCCCTCTCCAGACTGTCGCCCCCGCTGTAAGCATATCATGTTCAGAACGCACCACAATCCCATTTTAACGAGATCGGTCTAGCTTCCTTGAGCTTCAAGCCGCGCCTCATTCGATCTATTAGTAGCTAGGGGGTAGCAGAGATAGAAATGCTTTCTCAATCCAATGTTATTTCTTTATCCTACTACCGTGTCACTATCACTGACTGGTCTTGGATGTCGAGCTTTCGTCGAGCTGACGCCCGTGGAGTATACTCAAAATTAGAGTTTAGCTTGATGCCAGAGCTTGAGCGAATTTGGTGCCTATCCTGGCCAACATCTGTCATCAAAAAAATGGGCTCTCCGATGTATAAAGCCCTGACTCCTAGTTTTAGGTATGTGTCCATGGGCGCTTATGGTGGCTCTGCTGGCGATTACCGGTGACATTGGATTTTCAAGTCGTGGGATGGGTATACGAGATCATGATCAGGATAGAACTAAGTCTGGTGTATCCGCTTGAGCTTCGCTGTGCCTGCTAAACAGTGCCGTCGCTGCTTGTTGACCAGACTTTGCTCCCCCAAATGGGAATATATATTGTGTTAGTCTTTACTATTATTATATAGGTATATATCTTCAATGTATACGGGCAGTGCGCTTGCTACAGTTGCTTTATGTCAAGGACCATCCCTGAAATATTCAATTTCAAGTCTATATCAAACGGCCCCGGACCGCAGAGGATAGCAGCCGCCGATCGGAGCTTGCCTTGAAAATGGGGAGCCGCAGACTTCAAAGAAGCTGCTCGGGAGATGATCACCGACGAGAGGGTAGCATTGGCGGAGTGACACCTCGTAATGACCAGGCTTTGCAGGTGGGGTAGCAGGACCTTCTCCCCTGCTTCCCCATCCTCTTCAACCCTGAGCGCCAACAAAAAGGGATTCGACACAAGCGCTGCAACGTGCAGATGCTCCAAATCGACCATAAGAGGTGAACGGATGATTGCGAGGGCCAGATCGTTTGCGATTCCTTCTGAAGAGAATAGGAGTCTCTTGGGCCGGAATGTCGAGCTCCCGAGAAGTTTCTGGAGGGTGCGCCAAGCCGGGTCGGAGCCGTTGCAGCACATTGTGCCTGTCCTCGTGTCGAACCCAACGCCCAACTTCTCATCCCTCGATCCCTCAAAGTCGCCCACAGAGAACTCCAACGAGACGATCGCAGGGAGCGTCAAGTTGTTTATGAGCAACAAGCTCTGGTCGACGGTGTCTGGGTCGTAGTACATGCAGTTGGCGACCTTGAAATGCTGGAGACTCGGCATGCACAGAGGAGGGGACTTCGCGAGGACGATGGGAGTGGTTACAATGATTCGCGAAACTTCGAATTTTCGAAGAGTGGCCGAACAGGACTTCAGGAACCCATGGACGTGTCTCGAATAAAGGGCGTGGAAGGATAGTTCTGTGAGCTTGGTGTAGTTTGCCGGGCTGGGAACAATGGTGTTGCCGATCGCTTTCTTGCCTGGGAATTGGACGCGTCGGAGCTGTGGAAGGGAGTATATCTTGCTGTAGAGCTGTTTCAGGACTTTTGATGGGAACATATAGACGTTATGGATCGCGACTGTCTCCAGGGCTGACGCATTCTCGACTGCAAGGTCTTTGAATGCGCCTGAAGTGGTATCAGATACCTCGAACTCCACCCTTTTCCACCGAGCGACATGCAGGAGGAGGTATTTCATCGCAGCCTCCAAGCGAGAGCATTTCTTTGCATCCAGGTTGTAATTCGAGTCAGACATGGGGTCGTCCAGTTGACAACAGCACTTGAGCTCCAAATCAAGTTTTGCTTGTTTAGAGCGCTGAATCCACACGTGCAGAACGCGGAGCTCGCCTTGAGACGGGCACACAATGCCTATTGTCGACCAAAGCGTGGGGATCGACAAGACGATGGTGCGCCATTTGGAGCACACCTGTCCCAAGGTCCATGGGGTCGTACAGGCTGAACTGGATGCGGTAATTCCAGATCTCGGCGCAGCCTTGTAGTTGTTTGTCGGATCGGTGTCTTTCAGGTGAATGTACTGAGAGAAGATCTCTCCCATGATCTCAAAGGGAAGCTGGTCGATAATCATAGCGAATAGGGGTCAGACTCGGGCTGGGTGCTTGAGTTGAATGGTTGAAGTTGTGGCTTGGATGATGAGACTATGGGGTTGAAGGGGAGCGATATGCAGAGCTATCTTTGAGGACGGAGGCGAGAAGCCTCGACACGTCGGCGTAGTGGTCAAAGGAGCTCGGTGGCATTAATCATTCGAGGCGCCCTGTCCTAATCGAAGTATGTCCGTTGTTCTCGGATAATATACACAAGGCCACAGCTCCTTAAGGTAGGGCGCATTCACGATCCAGGAGCCATCACGTGGGTGTGACAAGTGTGACCGGCAACTTCCGAGGCGCACTTTGCCCTGTGAAAATTGCAATAAAGCAGGAAACAAAGCACGAAATAATATGTACAAGGTAG